TGGGGGGGGGGAGGCAGGCAATATGATTGGGTCAAGCCACTTCTTTGGCCTTGGTTTTCCATCTCTGCCGTGGAGTCATCAGGTCCTGAAGGACCCTCTTCTGCCCTGAGTCTGTCTTTGAGGTCAGCTCTGGAGGCTTATTCCCACCTTACAGATGGAAACAGATGAAGGGATACAGCGGGGCCCAGGTCGTGCAGCAATCTGGAGGTGAGGGGTCCACCGCAGACCCCTGTGTGAGCTCAGAGGTGGAGCTAGAAGCCCAAGCATCCCCCTTGCCCAGGACTGAGGGGTGCCTAGGCGGGCAGGAGCCAGGATGGCTGGTCACTTGGGCATACAGCCAAGAAGCAAAGCGACCACAGGTGAGGGGGCCCAAGGCACCTCTGCCGGCCCACCTCTCCTGGACAGGCTCTTCCCGGAGGCAGACGCCACCGGGGGGTCTGTTCCAGCTGCCATACCCCCCGTGCAGGGCAGGTCACAATTTGCACCCGACCTCCCTGCCATTTTCTTGGGTGATGTGCACGCCCAGTAAAAATTACAAAACCCACCCTGTGTGCTTATGGTGGAAGATGGTCAAGGGCAAGGATCGTTTCCCCATTTTGCAGGTGAGGGAAACAGGCCCGAGGAAGCAAAACAACTTGCCCAAGCCTCCCCCGCCCCGGGCTGGAGATCCTGACCCCTGGCTGAGGGTATTTCCCACCAGTCTAAAACCCAGCTCGTGTCTGTGGCCGGTCTCAGGGTTCCCTGTCCCGGGCAGGGTTCAGGCTTGCACAGAACCTGGTTGCAGCCATGGTCCACCCCCCGCCCCCCGCTCAGCCTCTATTTCTTCATCTGTAGATAGGATGATAGCACTTGACCTTACCAAAGGGGGCTGCTGGGAACCTGAAAGAAACTGCAGGTGGAAAGAGACCCGTGAGTGTCTGCAGGGTTCTGAAAGCAAAGATTTAAGGAACTATGTGTCCCAAGGTGTCCCAAGTGGAAACTGCTAGGTCCGGGGTGCCCACAGAAGAAACTAGAGCAGTCAAGCTGAGAGGCAGGCCCCCCCTCCCCTCAGTGGCAAGGATCCTGGGCCGGCGGGGAGTGTGTGTGTGTGTGGGGGGGGGCGGGTAGCCAGGGCCTCGGGAGCCCCAGGCAGTCAACGGTCCCTCTGCCGCTGGATCAAGACGACAGGCCCATTTTCCAACACGCCCAAGGAAAAATATACATAAAGGTTGATGTGCTTTCAAATGGGTTTTTGCTTTACTCTTCTCTTTTCTCCCTGTGAGTATTAACCTCGGGGACCCCGGGGACGGCTCGGCCTGCCGGAGCACCTGCTGGGGTCACGCGTAGTCATTAGCTTTGCGGTCAGTGCAGAATAAACCCCAATTCCCGGCGCCTGCGAGAGCGAGCGCCCGCTCCCGGGGAAGCCCGCTGCCGCCCGCCCGCCTCGCTCCTCCAAAGTCACACTTTTCTTGCCTGACTTGTTCCTCTGCTGCTATTCTATTCTATTCTACCTCCAGCTGTGGGGGCGTCGAAGAAAAAGATGAGATCAAGTTGAGGGGAAAAAATTGTCTGATTTCTTGAGCCCTTTGTTTCCCAGGCCCCTGGCAAGTGGGGGGGTGCAGGGGGGAGGCCGGCTCCTGGCTGGGGGGCTGGGAGGACCATGGGTCCGTGCCAGGCGGTGGCAAGGGCCGTAGCCCCCTAGTTCCGGAGAAGGGGTGCAGATCTCTGTGGGAGGTGGGTGCAGGAACTGGCAGGGCACAGCTTGGCTCTGGGCACCCCGGCCTCCAACCTGTTTCTGTCTTTTATCAGAACCAAGCGCCTCCAGGCCTCTACACAAAGACCCAGGACCCCGCCAAAGCCCCCAACAGCCCTGACATCCTTGAGATCGAGTTCAAGAAAGGTAGGTGCCCGCCTGTTGGGACCCGAGGGGGTGGGCTCTTGGGGCCCTGGGGTCCTGGCTCCTTTCCCCTGTGCCCAGGCCTGGGCACGAGCCCTCTCCATCCCTCCTGTGTTCCCGGAAGCCAGAATTCAGGTTTCCCAACCCCCGCTTCCCCAGATGGCATGGGCCACGGAAGCCCCCCAGGCTTCAGAGAAAAGCACCTTCAGTGGCCCATCACATGGGCTCACGGGCACCAGCTCTGACGTGACAGCATTCCAGTCCCCAGGCAGTCATTTGCCAGCTGCTTTGGGACTTGGGGCAGTCATTCAGCTATCCTGGGCCTCAGTGTCCCCTTCTGTAAACCGGTGATAAAAGCATCCGCCGCCTGGCATTTTCATGGCATGGAATGAGGTCTGAAAGGGACGTGTCTGCTACAGGGTTCCGGCACCAAGGAGGTGCTCAGTAAATGGTGGGTCTTAGAGAGCCAGCCTCGGGGGGCCCCTCCGACCCCACAGCTAAAGCCTCAGCTAGTCCTAGGCTCGATGCTGTCCACACCCCCTAGCCCAGACTCAAAGCTGCCACCACTCTTGTTCGCTTTGGCCGTGGGTGGGTGTCCTGATCTCCCTAGCTTCACTGCTAGCAACAAGGCATGTTTGCTGGCCCGGCCTGAGTGCCCAGTCTCGAGCCTGGCACCAGGCACACCTCTTGCCATAGAGGACAGACGGGAAGGCAAGGTGAGCCTGGTAATGAGAAGGGCGGGACCAGGCTCAGAGTGAGGGCTCAGGGCACCCAAGGAGAGGACCTGCCCAGGCAGCTGTAGAAATCGGGGAGGCTTCCTGGAGGTGGTGCTAGGCAGGAGCTAGAGGATCCAGCAAGGTGGGGGGGGGGGGCATCCTGA